TCAAAATTTAACCTCTATTAGTCTTAAGCCCTTTATAAACATACTTCTAACTATTTTGATCGTCAGTCCATGGGATTTGTCGGTGGAGAGCTTGGTTCTTGGGCTGCTTATAAGTTCCATATAAAAAATATTTTTTTGGGGTGCCTTAGAAAAAACTCCTTTTTACACATATAAAAACTGGGGTTTAAAGATTCTCTTGGTTTACGAGTGTTGAGTTTACTTTTATTTCGAATGAAAGTATGTAATAAAGTGATTCATAGGTCGAGCCGACCAGAAGACAACGCGAATTCTTTTCGTTCAGCCATCGGTTGGCTTTACAGAAGCATTCTACTTCACAATGTCCCCGAGAAAATCTCCTTCGAGTCTTGTAAAAGTGCCGAAATCTCGTCTTCCGCATTGTAGATAGCATCAGAGCACCAATGTGCCATTATTTTAAATACTTTAGGCTAAAGAGTTATGACAGCCCACCATTATTTTCCCATACGAAGTATAGATAAACATGTTAAATGACAATCTATCAACACAAGTGTAATTTTGCTCATACTAAGGTCATTGTCCAAATGAATCCGTCTAAGCTCAAGTAATATTGGGTTGGAGCTGCACTCCTATTTAACAATAAACTTTCTTAGCTTGGCGTCAACAAAGTTTTACATTACATGACGAATGAAAGCCAACACGAGATCCGGCAAATAGGAAGGAGTGCTGAGGTCTTGGAATATTTTCACAAGCATATGTCAAACCAACAGAAGATACTCTTATTCATCCGCTGACAAGGCAGCTTAACTAATCTCACAATATAAAATTCTAAATCAGAGTGGAATCAACCCTCAATAGATATATTTTAAGTCACTTTGGTACTCTGCCCAAGGATAGGGCAACAAATTACATTTAACCAACATCGGCCTAAGCCTACCAAAGGACAGTTTCATTTCAGATTTGACCCATTAAACTCCCGGATGCACACATACTGAATGCTTCTGATAAGCCTTTCTGCTTAGAATTAGGAAGAGATACAGCCTATAGATGAGTAAAAAGAATATATTAGGTTGGCTAAGGATGCTTTAATCAAGGGATTATCACATAAAATATTGTGCAAAATAGGCATTTAAGAAGAGTAGGAAAACTTACTTTCACATATATATCTGACATCTTTTCTCCTGTGATGGATTCCTCGTCAAGGATGACATCACTGGTGTTCCAGACGATCACCCGAAGTTCAAACTCCTTAGGTTTCCTAGGAGAAATATCAAAAGGTGGCCCAGGCAAACCTAGACTTTTTGGGAAAATGTCAATCCACATTTCGAGACGGCCCTAGACAAAGGGAAATATAACAGGCACTTTAGAGGCAGAATGACGAGGTTGATTTATGCACACATGCTAATTACTACCTTATTACGCCTACAAGTTAAATAAAAATAAATTAAGGATATACGTGATCTGACCTCGTATTCGCAATTTTGTCGTGTTGTCAGGGCGACTTTGTTGGACTCACCTTATCCGAATTTAACATAATTCCCAGCGTCGGACCGTAGACTTAGCACATTACTAGATTTTTTGTCGGCATCGTCAGTGAGTCCTGCCATTAGGCGGAATGTCTGTGAATGTACCACGTCTACAGTTCGACGCTAGGAGTCATGGCAACTACAATGGCAGAGGACTTCGGACAAGATGTGTCCAACTAAGTCGCTCTGACTACATGATGAAGTTGCGAAAGCGAGGTCAGACCACTTCTATACATCGAAAGAAGACTGCAACCAACATCTTGGTCTTCATATATAAGAATATACGATTTAATACAGCCAAATTTAGTGCAAAAGCATATGGACCTGACTACGAAGGATGCATAACAAATTGTTGCTATTAACTTTTCTCAAATTTATTAAGACTGGGTTTTAAGAAAAGCATAAGATTTTAAAGAAAAATATTGAATTAAAGCAGTGATATGTAGGATAGTCTTGAATAATAAGTGAGCAAAACTCCCTATTCTGTAGCCACTTTCTAGTCTCAAATGCTCTGGACAGCTTGTCATCGACCAAACATGGACAATGTAGTGAATAGTACAGCTTTCTATGCCATGAATCTAAAATTCTTAAAATGTGTGGACAGAATCATTTGTTTTATTAAGATGTAAAGAAACTATTTTTGCTTCGCCTCGCCCCTATCGAAGTAAGGATATCATAGTCCTTAACGGAAATAGTCAGATTCTTTTCAGCCGGCAGAGTGAAGGCTAATTGGAACATACTGTGAGCATGAGTAGAGGCGAAAAGAAGAATTGTCAACAATAGGCCTTTGGTAAAAAATAGCAAGTTTGAAATATTGAGTAATAGATTATTCTAAAAAATGAAAACAATTCTCTAGCCATTCAGCCAGTGGAGATAACGAATTTCGCGCGATTTGAGCCGGCGTTAAGGAAAAAACCAACAAATTAATGCTATTTCTTCTTCATATGACATGTATTCGGCCTAATTCATTTAATGTGATGAAAAACTGCTAGATGGAACCGTCAGCTCTACTCATCAGGTTGTGGGAAAATTCAACTACCAGTCCTTCATCACCTTAAACGAAATGGGGTGAATACATCTTATATTACTGATGTACTGGCAGTCACATAAATGCTGGTGATGCGATTGCACATACTACTTTCGCTCATCCCATTTTCAATCATATTTCGCCGAGAGGTCTGATACTCTGGAGAGTATAAATGTTATGATTGTTCCGAATAGTTTACTTGTTCTATGCCTGGTTGAAGAGGGCTGGCAAGCTTTCTTGTCTCCACGTGCTCTTTAACCAACGGTAGGCAACCGAGGGCATGCAAACAGAGGCGCTGTTTTGCGGGACCAAAGTGAGGATTAGCCGCAATCCCTTTCTCGAAGTCGTCCAGCACGAAGAGTCGTTGCCCCAGCAGCAGAGTAAGGCAATTATAGTTAGGATGGTGGTCGTCAAACACCGGCTTGGGTAGACGATTTTTGTCACAAAATGTCTCGAGTAGTTGCAACGGCGTTTGCGAGTCACGCCACTGATTTGGCCCTGAGACACAGTAACTCTGTGGCAGGCCACAGGTGGCTCGGAATTTGGTGAGATACCGGTTCTCCAGGTCGATCTTGGTCTCCCCGATCACGTCGTCTGAAGTAAGGAGATCATAGTCCTTAACGGAAATGGTCAGATCCTTTTCAGCAGGTAGAGTGAAGGCTAATTGGAACATACTATGAGCATGAGGAGAGGCGAAAAGAAGAATAGTCAACAATAGACCTTTGGTAAAAATAGCAAGTATGAAATATTAAGTAACAGATGATCCTGAAAAATGAAAACAATTCTCCAGACATTCAGCCAGTAGAGATAACAAATTTTATGCGATTTGAGCCGGCATTAAAGCAAAAACCAACAATTTAATGCAATTTATTCTTCATATGACATGCATTCGGCCTAATTCATTTACTGTGATGAAGAACTGCTAGATGAATTTTCCCACAAGTATATAAGTAAAGCTGAAGCGTCCATTAAATTGCACATGACCTTTCTTTCCCCAGAGGGGCTTTCATCTCGTCTGAAGTGTACTGCAGGCTTCTCCTCACCTAGATCTTATCAGAACCCTCAGCGAGTCTCGAAGCACGAGAAAACAAAGTGTAATCCCGACACGAGTGCCCTTGAGTCACATGGAAGATGAGAATTTCAAGGTAGGCCAGGCATTTTTCCATATCACATGATTTAATTAAAAATTGTCGATGATGCAAACTTATATTTGCTACAACAATAGACTTCGGTACTTATTTTTAGTTTATAAGTATGTTTTCGAGACAGCCAGTAAGTCATTTGTATTCGTTGAAATTCACATCGGCCTGTGACCCGGGCCTACTCGTGGCAATGTGGCGTGGTGATTAACGTAGAAAGATTACACGATGCACTGTCATGGTTCGAGTCCGGTTGGGGTGTTGACAAGACCTAGACGAGGTCGGAACTGAAGCCCACTCCTGCTTGGATGAGAATACCTTTTGAGTAAGCAATGCTTTGTAAATTCAATGGAACCGTCAGCTCTACTCATCAGATTGTGGGAAAATTCAACTACCAGTCCTTCATCACCTTAAACAAAATGGCGCGAATACATCTCATATTACTGATTTACTGGCAGTCTCGAAAACCTACCTAGAAACGAAAAATAAATTTTACGCTTTAATCAGGCCAGTACAAAATGATTAGAAACAATTCCAACTTTCGACTTCCATACACCTAAAGTTCAAAGCAGCCGTTACGGTATACTCTAATCAATCTTGATTAAAAGAGTTTCATTAGAATGTACAAGTAGAGGTTGGCCTGGGAAAGTGGATATTTATGAATCGTAAATACATCCTGGTTATTTACATCCGTTAGACACACATCACGTATCAGCAATAATTGAATAACCTATACTTTCGGAGGACAAATATGTTGAACAAAAGAAATTAAACGGGAAAACCACTTTCGTGGGTTTCACAAATACAAACCTCAAGAAAGGTAACCAATCATTATTTCATAAGTGAAAAGTGCCCATTTTCGGAAATGCACTCCACCCTGGAAGAGAACACCCTTTTAGAAAGCTAGGCTATGCGAAATTCAATGAAAACGTAAGGTTTACTCATATCATTGTGAAAATTCTAATACCACTCCTTCATCACCTTAAAGGAAATAGGGTAAATACATCTTATGAACGAAAATTTTTAAAAATCTACCAATGACGATAGTCTTCAGAAAGACATCAAAAAACGTTTCTCGTACTGCGTACCCTGTTAGTCTTGCCACATCTTCTTCCAGCTCTCGACTGCAGACTGAATACTCGATCAGATACTTCGTTCGCCTCGAAGATGGCATCTCCGGTGATGGCATCATCCTTTATCAATTTGCCACTAGTCGTCTGGGTGACAATCACAGACTATCT